AGAAGCTGCGAGATGACAGGCCTTAGCTTGGGAATCCCATCCATTCGCTTCCGCCACTTATAAAATCGTGTCTCATATACTTACCAGAAGTTCTTCCCATCATACGTGGATAGCTGCAGTGAGGAACGAAAAGGCATGGGTAAAAATTTAAAAACCATCTGAATTGCTCCCAGCCGTAGCTACGAATTTCTTTAAATTATCAGCTTCTTTGGCAACTGCAGAAACCCTGTCATCAATCTGTTGTTCGCTATGTCCTTGGATGACAGAAGCGTTTTCTTCAATTTGTTGTTCGATTCGCTGTTAGACGGTTTAAACTCTTCCTTCAATTCGTTGCTCCACAGCAGAAACTCTCTCTTCTATTTGTTCTTTCACAGAAGAAACCCTTTCTTAAATTTCTCCAACTTCATTTTCAACAGCGTGTATTCTGCCTTCCATAGCCTCAAATTTGTTTTCTATTATACAGGTATTATCCTCTTTAACAGCTTTCTTCTCCACTTCAACTGATTCTTGACACGCTTTCATCTCATCTTGAACAGCTTCCATCTTTTGTTTAAGGGATTCTTGGCAGAATATCACCTCTTTTTGACCAGCATCCATCTTTCCTTTGACTGCTTTCATCTCTGCTAGGCTGCCATCAGCTGTCTCAACTGCTCCTCCGTCGCTCTTGTTACTGGCATTCAAACCCCAATTCTGAGACCAAAAAGTGTTGCGGGCGTACGTGTTCCTACTAGATTGAATGCACAAGTCTGATGAAAAGTTAATAAAATTTATTCTTATCACAAGAAATAAAACAAAATGCTGAAATTTTCCCTCACAGATATTCGTACAATATCACACAGTAGTTATATTTTATACTACTAAAACGTTAAATAGAACAGAATTCAAATTGCAGAGAAAGCTAATCGGATCTCACCGCGAATTCGCTACAGTCAACAAGAACAATAGGCAAACAACTGAACTGAGATGTTCCTCTCCGGCTTTTATAAGCTTTTGAATCATGCACAAGAACATTCTGGTACTTTCTCGAAGTTTCTAAAAAGCAAAAGAGTACAATTACGAGATATCTATTTATTATGTTAAATGCGCGTGCTCCTGTATTTTTACTTTTTCGGCGTAGCTTTCTCTTAAAACTTGTCACGCCCTGTACTGCACGAGGAAATAAAACAACTTTAATTACAGTTCTACTAAAAATAGATAACTAAATACAAAATACATAACAGTATTATGCCTATAATTTCCTTAATGGCAAATAGTGGAAATTCGTTTACCAGTAGTAATTCTGGAAAAAGAAGTGACAGCGAATTTAGTTTCAGATTACTACAATTAACTTGTTTACTTTGCAATGAGGTAGACTCTCACTCTCATGTACAATATCGCGAAAACAAAAGTCTAATAAATAATAATGATGGTGATAATGAATAATAATTAAGTGTTTAATATATTTAATATAACAGGAGCTATTTTGGAAGAAAAATAATAACTTGGAAAGGTAATGACAGAAGTTATCGAACAACCGAAGATGAAATTTCTTCCAGTCATCTAAAAATTCTCATCCACTGCACTCTTATTCTCAGTTTTTCTCTCAAATCTCCTCCCTCATCTAAATTTCTCATTCCATAATTTTAAGATCGTTAAATTGCAACAATTCTATATTTATGATTAAATATTCTCATTCGGTAAGGGAAGGCAGCTAAAAGAGCACTCGAACGAAAATGCAAATTTAATTAACTTAATGTATAATGATTAATATATTGTTGCGTACCTATGGGTCCGTAACAAATTGAATGCACAGATGATAAAGTTGATAAAATTTATTTTATCAAAGAAACATTTCAGAGATCTAGAACGTTCCACAAAATTAGTCGTAAAACTCATCATAATATAGCAGAGTACAATCAGTAGTTACACTTCAGAATATTATGACCGTTAAACACAACGCAATGCAAAGAGCAGCTAAAGGCAAAGCTACCTGCAGATATCTCAGTACTCCGAATTCATGTTAAGCTAACAGCTAACAACAACTACACATCAGAGCAGTCAATCGATCAATCAATGCTGGTATTGCCGGAGTATCGCTGCTTTACGCGATGTTTCCGGTGCGATGATAAATATGCCATAAGGCGTATGACGGTAGAGAGTCCAGACGAAAGTTAAAGTCCCGAGGGAAGGCTTGGCAGGGAGGAGGGGCCTAAGGCATAGAAAGGCAGAGAAAAAGTCTAATCGTGACAGATTACAGTAGATGCAGGAGAACGACAGGAACGCAGAGTACCTCAAGTGGCGCCATCCTCGGAGCCCTAGTTCGCTAAAGTTAAAAATAATTAAATTCAAAACATTCATCTTACTGAGAGTAGCAAACTTAAAAGTCCATTTGCACTATCTGTTCTACGATACCCAGATCAAGAACTTTTTCTTGGGGCGAGTCAATTCTTTTACACTTTTCTACAAATTCATTGAACTTGAAAACCAAGAGTAAACTCTTGGTAATTATAAAACTCGCAATACCAAGAGAAAACTCTTGGTATTGCGACCAAGAGTAAACATTTTCATCCAAATTTAGATCCGTTGAGGCAAACTTCGCAACATCAGGATGGGTATTTGGAGAAGGGTTGTCATTCTTCACAATTTTCTCAGGCACCGGCAGGTTTCTATCAGATTTTTGCTGCTTGGGAGCTTGAGGTAATTTCTTATTACTTTTCCCTTCGCGAATTTTGGGTCTAAACTCGCACGACTTCGAAGGAGCGATGTGATCCTTTTTGCAATGCACGCAAGTAGGCTTTTTATCTTTCTTTAATTTACAGGTGTAAGTCAAGTGCATTTGCCCACACTTCAAACATCTTGGTAAATTATTACAGAAGGTCTATCCATGGCCATAACGTTGACATCTAGCACATTAATGTGCACCGATTACATCGATATCTTCTGAAATGGACCCGCAGGTCGAGTAAAGTCTTTTTGCCGTATATGCTTCGGCTTTTATCGTCTCGCTTGAAAGAGACGAAGAAAACGGGAAGTTTAGTCATAATTCCATCAGTTTTCCGGGTGAATTGAGTGACGTTTAACACAGTGAAACCTTCGTTCTTTAGCTCCGCTGTAATTCCTTCAACCGAAGAGTCTTCTTAAAGTCCTCGGATAACCACTTTGAGTGGGGTATCCTTCTTACTGCTGAAAGTGCTGAATTGCACTTCGTCCTTCATAAGAACGGCGAGGGCTTTGTCGCGATGATGTGAAGAGACGAAGAATAGCGTGATTTTATCTCTCGTCAGCATTCCAGTAAAATTTTTCACTCCATTTTTAGAGAGAAGTCCTCGTAGCTCATTCTATTCTACCTCAGGTCTGAGGCAAAATAAGAGCAGCAGCTTTTCATTTTTTAACTGAGTCACAGGAACAGGAGTCGAGTGATCTTTGCCTTTTTCCGTTTCATTAACGCAGTCCATGGGCTCGGCGGCGGCAGGAAGAGATGCCAGAATTTCCAAGTTATTAGTCGCACTAACCACTTCAGCTATATCCGTGGCGGGAGTCGTATTTATCGTACGATTCTTGTTAGCTTCCGAAACGGGAGCCGAGCAAATTTTGGCAGTTTTAACGGGCGTAATTCATCCTTCGTCTTCAGTCGATTTAGGTATGGTACGGACATCTTTCTTAAAAGCAGCAGCAGGATTCTGCGATTTTTCAACTTGCATTCTACATCTTTCTTTTAGTCTTTTATTAAGTTCCTTTACTATCAGATGATTTCTACCAAAATCCTTCAGAAAGAACTGTAGAACTATTCTCGAGCTTCGTGATCTTGATCGATAATAGCCCAGAAAATCTTTTCAACTTTTCTTAATGCAGCCTTCACTGGCTTGGCCTCGCTAAGTTGAATCTGCAACTCGTCAACAGTTTCCAGAGCCTTCCATAATTCTTGATTAGATTCTGGATCATTTTCATGAGTACCTCCATGACGTAAAATCTCATAAGTCTGGTCAAAGAGGACCGAACGATGGTCGTTAGGCATAGCGGCAGCGAAACATGCACGAAGCAGGAACGTACAGTTAACAAGTCACGTGGCACAGGCCAAATCAGAGCGTAAGGGACAGGAAACCTTCACATGTGAAGTCCACGTCCCGAATGATCAGAGCAGACTAACACTTAGACAGTTCTATATTACAGAGCTATTGCAGGTGCAACGTTGCCGGTTCCTTAAATTAAGCCCCAGGGCACATGACATAATGAATTTAGGATGCTCTCTCTCCGGCCTTATATAATTTCCACCTGGTCGCGGGGATATTTCTAGCCCTTTCTGCTTCTCGAATTTACTGGAAGGCAATATGAGGGTTGAATTCTGATTGCAGCTAATATAGTGAACAATTACAGTATCTATTACGCTGATACACGAACCGGACCAAAATGTCGTCAAATGGTAGCCAAGTTTGGCTACATTTAGAGATTTATCGCCAAATATGGCGACAAAAAGAGTCGCCAGAACCGTTGTCATCTTATCGATATCTCGCCAAATTTCCGAGACTTTTCCATTTGCTCAATATTAAATGGATTTGCCCCCCGTATTCTTACTTTTCCACTAGGTTTTCTCTCTAGATTTTTCATGTTACATTACGCAAAAAATACAACAATTTCATAAATCATATTTATATGTACAATATTCATCTAAAATTATATACGTATGTACAATATTCGTAGCAATATGTAGAACTAAATTACATACAATAGTATTTAATATATTTATAATTAAATTATACGCGTATTCCAAGTTTTTTTTTGTTGCTAATTGCTTTGCGTGATTAAAATAATTTATAATTATCACAATCATTACCTGCCTAAAATGGATTAATACTTTACAGATGTAAAGTTTGTTTAAATATAACACCACTAATTATTTACTGTTCGGTTTAGTGATAATTCTAAATATTAGACGAAAAAATTGCTAAGTATGTGACTATGAATATGGTAATCGAAATGTTTCCTGTTTAACAATGTCATTAATAAGATATTTGAAAACGTACTTGTTTAAGTAAATTTCCCGTGCGGTCATTTGGGTTGAGATCTTGTATTGCCCCTCTGAAGTTTGAGGTATTATTGGATATCCTTAGTAGCTCTGAAAAATATTGTCTTTTTCTCAGTACATCTCTCTGGCATTCTGTAACATCTTCAATAGACTTTGCTAATCTGCAAGTATTCAACATTTTTCATCATATAATTAAACAAAGTGTGTCAAAGTGAGTTGCTTTTTGTAAAATTACATACTTATCTATCTCTTTATTTAAATGCTCGATCCATTGACGAATTTTATTTTCTCGCCTTTGGAAAGCATCTCGAATATATTTTTCACCGCTTTTATTCAAGTTTTCACACCATACTTTTTTAATTCTTCCATGCTGCTGAGCTGAAGAAGCATCAGCTAATAACTTCTGAGAAAGAGGCAAACCTACATAATAAAGTAATTTTTATTCATAAGCCTATAAAAAAGAATCTATAAGTAATATTAAAAAGCATATTAAAAATTTACGCAATTTAAAATCTTGTATTAATTAAAAATCACGGATTCAGTTAATATCACGGATTAGTGTTAAAAAATAAATAAAATAGTCTTAGGAAGGATATATTCTATTCTGTAAATTTCTTCAATTTAAATATTACGTCAGAGATTGAAGATGAGACTTTGGTAATCCACAATAAAACAGAAAAAAATGTATAAAAATATGTCATGTTTAACATCACAAGATGAAGAAACAGAGGCGAAATTTGTGTATATATTTAAAAGGTTAATTAAATTAACAACAAAAATACAGAGGAAATGAAAATAAATTATCTGAATTAAAAAAAATGTGTCGGAAACTATATGTAGCATATTAACACACTGTAAATTTAAATTTTGATTTTTTTCATTTGAGCTCTTTATTAGTATTTCGAAGTAGGTCTTACTATTTCCACTTGAAACTTAAAACTCTTCAAAATGGGAAGTGTTGCCAAGCCACGTAATATAATACCTAGAATAAGGAACTAGCTGACCCATTATCCATTCGTTTGCAATATATGCCAATTTACGTATCATAACAGTGTTCGGCCTAGCGGTAAAATCGCTCAAAATAGACAGCTCGACCCCCAATTCAAATCCCGGTGAAGGGTCTGACTGCATAGGAGTTTTCGTAATTTTCTTTAAGCGTAAAACGGATACCAGCCAATTCCCCTTAAAAATATTCCACTAGAAAAAGATATGTATGTATAGTTTATAACGTATCAAAATATCACCAGGATTACTTGGTGATCCTGGTCGCATTAGCAAATCTGATTCGCATTAACAAAATCTGATTGCATTAGCAAAATCGCATTAGCAAAATCTGATTGGTTCTATGAGTAAAAGAAAAGATTAATGAATATTTATAAAGGAAAGAAAAGATTAAAAATAAATTTAACAAAATCTTTCGTGTCTGATGTACCTTTTTAGAAATCCAAATTGGGAAACCTAATTGAAAATTTTTCATGAAATTTCGCCATATATCCTATAAAACTTTTACTAATTTTGAATTCATGCCTTCTCCTTCTCCGGATGAAAGAGCGAAACGTGAAAGATCGTCATATACTTGTATATAAAACATCAAACTTTGAAATTTATAAATTAATGATGTACTTTGCAGTTAGCAGCATCAACTGGGCTTTTGGGACTAAACAGCTGTAATTATGAATCAAAAGGAAAAGTCACTAATTACACGTCTGAAGATGATCAATCTTAAGAACAGTTTCTAGATAACTTATTGGCAAAACATATTTTGAAACATTTCTGAAATAATACTTTAAACGGAAAAGTACCATTCATAATTTCTAGTGACAGAATAAAGTAACTGATACTCGCTACTTCGACTCGAGTTGTTGTTTCATTCAGGTCATCTTTCATATCTTAACTTGCAATCTCATTTGATATACAATTGCATCATGATCTTTATCCACTGTTTACGAGCTTTTAAATTTAACTCAATGTCTCACTTATTGGACTTAACATAAATTGCGTAACAAATAATTATTACCTACAATACTATTACAGCAACGTCTAGCTTATCAGGTTCTGTGTTCCTCCTTACTTGCTTTGCGAACATTAACTGTCCTTACTCAGAACAGGGAGCTTACTAAAGCTATGTTCAAATAATTTGGGAAGTAGACAATACACACAGGAAGGGTATACGAAACCCTTTATTTTTCTCTCTTTACAATGATTTCCGGAACTTCGGAATACAGAGACCAACCACTTGTGGTCTGAACGTTAGAATATAAAAAATATTAACTAAAAATCTAACTAAACTAACTTTGGATTAATAAACAAGTGTCTAACTCCAAGATTGGCCGTATATTAACAAAAAGCCGTATGTAGTACAGAGAACTGCTAACACTGCGATACGTTTAAAATTATCAAGAGGATTAAACCTCTGGCCTGGAAGGCAACCAGCAACCGAGTAAAACTACTATGGCAAGCGGCCTGCTTCTAATAGCTCCTTCCTCTCTCTTGCTTGGCAAAAAACCACAACTTAAGTACTTGGCGTGCGCAAGACAAATTTCCATAAATAAGTTAAAGCTTTTAATTCTGGCCGGAAGTAGAAAATAAGAAGTGATAGTAAAGATTTAAAATAAAATAAACGTTAGTAAAACTTAGGATCCTCACAAGCTGAGCGATTTTAACTTACGCCTTCATCCACTCTATTGGTCACTAGTATGCCTGAAGACAAACTGGTAACAATGCTTCACTTACTTTTCTGAAGAATGTTTCTTTTTTAATCTATACTACGGTAAAATAATGTATTTGTTAGGTAGCTTGATTACCTTTCGTTCTAATCAAAATAAAATGAATTTTAATCAGAACCATATTCTTATCAGATATTCACCTACATTTTATATTTTAAAATTTATCCCACAATGTAAAGAGCATTTTATTTTCAAATGACTAAGGCATTTCAATATCTGCTTGTTGTTAAGAAGATATGGTCAAAACGTTTCTAAAAATAAAATAACTCATTCAAAACGTGCTGGGAAATGAACTCAACACAAGTATCGGAACGTTTAGAACATACGATTAATATTTTATAAGACTATAAAATAACAGAATATTTTATATTTAATTCGATGTCCTTTAGTTAAAATTATATTTTTCATACACTTTGGCACGATACTTATAAATGTTTTTATGTCGGAATGATCGATTTTCTTCCGTTCCTCCGTAAAAATTATTTTCGTTTCAGCTTTTAAAGAAATATGCATTCTTTGTTCTCCTCATTCCATATTGCTTAAATCCAAAAATACAGATGAGTTTTAATAACTCCAGAGTATTCTTACAATAGCACTAAGCGAATATTTAGCAATGTATTTTAAAATTTTATTAAGTTAAAATGCAAATGTACATTTCATTCCAAGGTTTTGTCACACATTTTTAGGATTTTCATTCAGGATCTTTTATATTTTGATACTGACCCATACTGGTTAGTGTACAAATTAAATTCACCATGACGGAGGCAGTAAATAACTCCAATTACGCTTCAATCTGCCTGTTTAACAACAGGCAACAAGTTTTTAGGGTTCATTGCTTCGTTGAGCTTTTTCAACATACCATCGTATCTGTATGTATGAGTTGTTTGACAAATAAGTGATGTTTGTTTATTGTAATTCAGGTAGATTTTATTTGACATATTCTGTATATTGCAGAGATAACAATCCCAAAATGCAATAAACTATCAATTTTATTTTTGTAAAACTCTTCACTTGGCTTGGTGAAGAGGGTAGGAAACAAGTTTTGCATTCCCACGTCAGACGCTTCTTCTTGGGCCGTAAACCTGAATATCAAGGGTGAAGACATTATCATTATCATTATGAGGGCACAGCTCGGATCCTCCTAGCCGGCCGTATGATCAAAAAATGGGACTGACAAAAATAAATAAATAAATAAATAAAAAATAAAAATAAAAATAAGTCCAAGCTCTGAGTCTCAGTGCCGAATTCCAATTCTATCTTTGTTCGTATTTATAATTTTCATTATTGTTTCTGCAAAATCTCTCAAAGTTGAATAGTTACTTTTAAAGTCTTCCTTAAAATTCTTTCTATATTTCTCTCTTGCACTCCGGGTAAGAGTATATTCACCGACGAAGTGCCTGGCATCCCCAAACTTGTCACATGTCACATATTAAGCATTTATCATTATTCTGCAGATGGAACCGATTAAAATAAGCCGGGAAACGCCCATGATTAGTCAGTACCTGATTTATAGCAACATTATTTATAATATTCATCTTCTTATTTAACTTTATAGTTTCATTAACTCTTTTTTTCTTATTAGACAACTCCCAGCAAAAAATTCCATTCTGTATAAATCCAGTTTTCCATTTATATGGGTAGCACAGCCCAGACGAGTTGACGGATTTTGTGAAGTGCTATATGTGGCTTTCCATTATCCTGAGGAAGAACAATGCTTCGAGATAGCATTCCGAATAAAAACTTTCGCCCTAAACCTGTCAGTGCTTCATAGGAGCAAGCAGAATACTATACTGTGTCGCCTTTCGACAACAATTTGGTGAGAACAGATCTACAATGTTCCTCAAGCATGAATGAGTTCATCTGTGATAGAATTCATCGTTGTTTTACTTACTTCAGGATCCATCCTCTATTCGCAATAACTCTTATCATTAACGACGCGCAACAGATGTAGCAAGAAATATAGGGTTTTTCCTTTATTTCTACTCTTGGCTTGGCAACACTTCCTATTTTGAAGAGTTTTTCCTTTATTTTCCTATTTTAAACCGAAAAGACAGGGCCAGTTCACACACTTACCAAACATCAATTAGATATTAAGTTTCGATTCAACAATTATTATATTATGTGCACATAACTGTAAATTTCTGTAAGTATTTTTTATCTATTTAATTGCATTTTGGTGATATTGTGTTTTCTTTAATTTCTTGTTTAATTTTTGCATTTTGTATTATAACTTTTGGGTATATTTTACTATAATTAAGTTTGTGTCCGCATAATTTGCATATAAGTGTTTATTTCTTGTATAGAATTGTAGATCCTAAGATTCTGAATCGAACACTATTTAATTTGGGAAATTACTAGAGGTATTGGCAAAAGCGCTCTTGAAGGACTTTGGTGACAATATTTGCTACAAAATTAGCATGGTGATTTTTCTCCAATTAGGCGATTTTTTTTTATTTATTTATTTTTTTTTTTTTTTTTTAAAGTTTCGAAAAAGCTTACTGTCGAAGTTCTAAGAGCAATTTTTCTTGAAGCCCTTATTCTTCAGCTCCCTATAAATATGACTCTGAGAACCAGGAGTAATTATTTGTTAGTCAGCCCTCAGAAAATCTGTAGTTCAGAGAGAGAGAGATGAATTTCCTTATAGAATTTACGCTGTGAAATGATATTGGTAATTTACGATATTTCTTGTGCGTTGAGGAGGATTTTCCAAATATCTGAGCTCTCCTTGAATTAGTTAGAGCTATTAAGTTTTGCTATGCATTCTTATCTACCCAATAAATAGGTAATTTCTTTCTGTTGATCTAGAGTGATTATTTAAAAAGATATTCGCGAAACCGTAACTATATGGTAACTCTTTTACGCAGACGGAAAGTTTGACTCCCACCCCCGTTTTTTCTCAAGAAGAATCTCTGCTTTGTCGGTCAAATACTGCATCTATGTGCTTAGATGACTCCTCTGAAAGTTTCAGGACAAGCTCTCACTGCAAACTGTTATAATTCAGCTGCAAGGTTGGGTTTTGTTGACTTTTTGGTATGATAAACCTCAGATTCTATAGGAACTAAAAATGTGGTGTTGGTTTTCAAGTCGTTTCATTTCCACCCACTATCCATCAAAAACACATTAATGGTTTCTGCGACACTTCTAATATATTAAAACTGTTACATCATTAAATTCCTAATGAAATTTACAGTTATTTTAAGGAGTCTTATCATGTTACTTCAAATTTATTATTACACAAATATTTTGCTGAATAATTAATAATTCCAAACAGCAGACAATAATTGAGAGTTAATAATAAAGAAATAACAAAGAGTTTGAATTTTTTTATTATATTTCTGCATGAGAAACATCTCAGATTAAATTTACAAAATATCGTAAGTTTTTCATTTTTTTTTTTTTTTTCAAATTTAAAATTGGCGCTTAAAAGTTCCACTTCGACATCTCTCGAAAGAAAATAAAGGGTTAATATGTGAAATGTTTTTCTTTTGAATGAATTACTTTATTTTTAGAAAACTTTTGAACATACTTCTCAGTGTAAGCATGTTTTGAAATAGGAAAATAACAGTACATGTGAAAGGAGATGGAAATGGAGAAAAAAATGGAAATTTATGAAAAATAATAATGAGTACGACCTTGTATGAGACGCACCTTGATTTTGAAAGCCAAAAATTGAGAAAATAAAGAATTATTTTGTTAACGGATTGGTTTTATGAACCTATTGGATTACAATTTATTAGGAAAGTAAATATTACATAAAGTTCTTAAAATCAACATTCATTGATTATACAACTCGTCATCACTATCAGAACTCCCTCCCATTAGCTGAACATCATCAGTGTACACAGTGGCGTAGCTAGGGTGGGGCAAGAGGGAACATCTGTCCCCGGGCGCAGCATCCAAAGGGCGCCAAATTCATGCTACGAAATTTTTTAATGAAATGTTTCCCATTTTTGGCACACAGAAAGGAGCGCAAATTCTGCAGTTGGTCCCCGGGCGCTGGAAACTCTAGCTACGCCTCTAAAATGCAGAATAGCCTATGATGCAGTTTCCCCAAATGCATTGTTTATGCAATGTTCAGTTCCCCAAAAGCAATGTTTAGTTCACCTTTGCTTAGACTATTTTGTCATTTCTTGGATTTTTTTTTTTTTTTTTTTTTTTTTTTTGGCTTGTTATCTTTATGTCAAAGATAACTTTGTACACACTAAATGGGAAAGCTTCTTTGTTAGGAACTAGAAACGATATCAGCTGAAATTTTCGCATCTCATTGTTCATTAATGAATGGGGTGGGAGAAATTTTTGTGAATCTCAAATGGAATTTCAGTTATTTCGTTTTTTTTTAAAAGAAACAGGCGTGGGAAGTAATTGGCAATCTAAGGGTTAACATGCACGTAACGTGTGCATCCTCTACAAACTTTCACTTTTGATTTTGTTAGCCGCAACGCCACCGTTGTTAAAGATGCACCCAGTTTTTAGATCCGAAATTTTTAAAGAATAAGTGAGTATTATACACCAGCAAATACGGTTATTTATTTATTTTGGATCCGATATTTGTTTATCTTTTTTCCGTTGGTTTTATTACAGATAATTTACAGCTATTCCTTATTTATTTACGTTATATATATTCGGTAAAATCCTAGTATACGGTACGGCCTTCGCGCGATTTTGAAAATTGTCGCCTACACCAAAATGACTCCTTTACTGCTCCTTATAATGTCACCAAAAGTCATCAAATCCCGCGGGTACCGTACACTAGGATTAAACCATTTATTCGTTTATTATGTTTTAAGTACCCTTTTCGGTTACTTTCGACAGAGGGACTTGCATTCCATTTTTGTAAATTAAACTTTCATTAACTGTTTAATATGTAACCATAAAACTATACTTAAAAATGTTTTATTTAGAACTCTCTCAAGATTATTTATTATGTGACTAAACGCTTATAATATATCAAATCAGCTCTTACCGTCTCCAAAATGAGAAATGCATTTTTCACCATGAGTGAAATGAATAACATCATCAATTCTACTAATTCCTGGAACAGCTTGAGAGTACTTCACTTTGCAAAGTTCTTTCATCATTAGATCCTGTCAAAGTAAAACATCTAAAGAATTACAACAGTGAAATTTTGGATTTGATTTAAAAAAAATACACATACATTACGAATCACCATACTTGTTTATAAACAGCGGTTGCTAAGCAACAGTTACAATTAAAGTCTCAGCAATCTCAAAACATAGGAAAATAAAATTTTCTACTTTGTAATTTAAAAATGTTTTATTTTTCTGATAAAGAATTCAGTTGTAAAATTGAAATTGAATTTTACAAATTGAAATTCAGTTGTAAAATTTCTTGAAATTCCTTGAAAAGTCTTGTCAACACAATTAAATATTTGTGCTGAAACAGATTAGAAACAAACGATATATTTTATAGTGATTGAAATAAATTATTTAATTTAGGACGAAGAATTTCTTTGCAATTTGAATTATCTGTTTTAACTTCGAAATAGGAAAAAAAATTGGAAAGGGAAAAATATATGCAAGTATCAGTTGGCAGACTTGAACTCTGTTTGTTTCTTCTTGAGTCTGTATGCGTTTTTGCCAAGACATTTGAATGTATACATTCTCGTCTGGTTATTTTCTATCACTAAATCGTGAGTAATTAGTATTTTTAACAATCAGCCTAGCATCTGTATTTGATATAACAAGTCGTTAACGATTTGTAGGATTATCGGCAGAAGCATACTTCAGCAAAGTAGGAATACGTTACCTGTTGCTGGAATAAAGATTTGTAGAACTGGCTGTCTACATGGATGATAATATACCACAACGTAAGAAAACCTTTAGCTGAATATATATTAATGTAAGAATACATTGTTTAAGATTATTCCTTGTGTCATCAATATCAGTGTGTAGGATTCAGTTAATGCGAGGCACTTTTTCCTGAAGTAGTACTTGCCTGAGTTTAATGGCTACGAATAATCCCATCATCGATAAAGAAAAGGATGAAAAAGTTAAACGAGAGAGTTGCGATGATTCTGAAGATGAAAGTGAGAATTTAGAAGAAAGCCCTTGTGGGCGATGGCTAAAGCGAAGAGAGGAAGTGCAGCAGCGGGATATACCTGGTATCGATGCTGCTTACCTTGCTATGGATACTGAAGAAGGTGTTGAAGTTGTGTGGAATGAAGTTAAATTTTCTGAGCGAAAAAATTTTAAATATCAAGAGGGGAAAATTCGGGGTGTTTTTGATAGTCTCACTCAACTTGACCATCCAAATATTGTAAAGCTTCATAAATATTGGATTGATAAGGATTCAGAGAAACCTAGAGTTATCTTTATTACTGAGTATATGTCTAGTGGGTCTTTAAAACAGTTTTTAAAGAAAACTAAGCGCAATGTCATAAAATTGCCACTTCTGTCATGGAAAAGATGGTGTTCTCAGATTTTATCTGCTTTGAATTATCTCCATTCATGTTCTCCACCTATTATTCATGGTAATTTAACATGTGATACTATATTTATTCAGCATAATGGGTTGATAAAAATAGGCTCAGTAGCTCCTGATGCCATTCATTATCACGTGAAGACGTACAGGAAAGATATAACAAATATGCATTTTATGGCTCCTGAATATAGTACCAAGTTGTTTCCTTTGGTTACACCAGCTGTTGATATATATGCATTTGGTATGTGTGCTTTAGAAATGGCTGCATTAGAAATTCCCATCAATGGCGATACTGGAAATCAAGTTACTGATGAAGTTGTAAATAAAACTATTGAGTCTTTGGAAAATCCATTACAGAAAGATTTTATCAGAAAATGTTTGTGTAAAAATCCTTCAGAGCGACTTACTGCCCGCGAACTTTTATTTCATCCTATAATTTTTGAAGTACATCCATTGAAACTTTTAACTGCTCATGTAGTCATGAAAATTACTTCATACCAACCTGATCAGCTTACTGATGAGGCTTTGCGTTCAAGATATAATCATCAGAATGATATCTTAGCTTTCGTACCTATTAAAGGTGGTAAACCTGGGCCTCAAATAAGTCGTACTGATGCTCAGAAACTAGAACTTGAGAAATTCTTGGATGATGTTCGTAATGGTATTTATCCCTTAACAGCTTATGCTTCAACACATGTCCCTATTATTCAGCGTAGAACTACCTCTCCCGAAATGACAGATTCTGCCAAATCAACATCCCCAGAAGCACCTGATGTGGAAACTAGGCGGATAGTTAATATTATGTGTAATATAAAACCTCAAGAAGAAGGACAGAATTTTGTGATGACTATTCTTTTGCGAATGGATGATAAAATGAATAGGCAGCTCTCTTGTGAAGTAACTCATCAAGATACTCCATATGAATTGTCAGAAGAGTTGGTTTTTCATGGTTTCATAAATCGTGAAGACCGTGATATGGTTACTAACCTCATTGGAGATACTTTAAGTCGTCGTCATATTCCCGATCACCCTCTTCCAACATCAGTTGCAAGTGAAGGAACTGCCTAGAATATTTTTCAAACCTTTATTTTATAGCTTTCCTCAGTTGGTGGATAATAACACTTAGATGCATATCTATACCCTAGTTAATAAATGCTGAATTAACTATTTGATTTTATGAATTGACAATAACATATATTATTTAATAAAGAATAATGATTCTTTTGCTTGAGCAAAATATATATTTAATAATATATGTTGCATATTTGTGACTTTATTCTAGAAAAATTTCATCATTCTGAAATATTGGATGTGTTTAATTATCTATGTATTAAACTAAAAATTGAATATAAAATGCTATGTTTGGGATTAGTAAATTTATTCATTAGTGTAAATTACATATATACTAGTAAATACTTTTATTGTTTTGAGGTATTTCTTCTACAACTTCACAGGATACTTTGATGGTGTTTTAAGTAGAGGAGCATATTTATTCCAATTTATTCCAATAAAATACATAAATTAAAAAGATTTATTTTTGCAGAACGATTTTTATTTTTCAGTCTAGAAAGAAGCACTCAAACTTTCAATCTTAAATAATGAAAATGTTAGTTATTTCAAGCATTATTATTAATTATTATTATTATTATATTTGTCGTCAACTGATGTAAGCTTTTCAGTTTGTGAATTTATTTGATGTTGAGTTTTTCAGAAGTATGCTATAATTTAAAGAATAAAGATATGTTTGCTTTTTACGAATATCAAGCATATTGGTAATATATTTCTGAAAGATACACTAATGATGCACCTAATATTTAAACTTTTTCTTTCTATTGCTATTTTTTATGTACATTTTCAAATTATCACTTTTAGTGATTATAGTATATAAATTTAAGGAGACTGTTCACTTTTGCTTTTTTTTATCTTGCATTCCATATAAGTATGTATATTTTATATATTTTAGTTTTGTGTTTGTGACAAAAAATGATTTAATTATAGAATTTTTCTATGGTAAAAGTTAAAGTGATTTGATGGTAACTTGAACAATAACGTAAAATCTCAAATCTTTTAAAATCTAGTATGATAAATTATTGATGCCAAATCACTTGAGGGCTATATGAGTAACTAGAGTGGAAAGGTGGATTCAAGAACTTTCTAAGGGAAACTGATTTGTTAATAAAAATGACTCGGTTCCCAGACAAAAGCCCAGTGGACGAAAGCGCACGCAACAAAAGCCCACTATGATAATTGCTCACGCGACAAATACCCACAGCGATGAAAGCGCACATTGATAAAAGCTCACACTGATAAAAGCCCACGTTGATAAAAGCCCACATTATAAGACCCTGATAAAGCCATGCTGATAAAAGCGCACATATCGAAATGACTTGGTTTTTATTACTATACCATGTATTTATAATATAATTGTAATAAATGGAGTTAGTTCAGATCCGAATTTTAATGTCTCAATATGTGTCTGTTTGTATACATATTTTGAGACAATATTTGTCTGTCTGTTTGTTTGTTTGTTTCATTATTATATTGAAAGCAACTTTCTACTCTCTGTTATGATTAGTCTATACGTTTCGATGATAATCTGAAATTGCATTTTATTATTTTTACTTATTTAACTTGGTATTGTATGTGTGAAAATGAAATATCATGTGGAGTTCTCACATGCTATTTTTAAGTAATATGGCTGAGATTAAATAGAATTATGTTTTCATTTTTAAACTATTAACTTTTAATTAAAACAGTTGAATTTTATTTTATTTTTCTTAGTTTTTCCTTTAGTTCCTTTTAGTTCTTTTTAGTGTAAGAATATTAAACAGTTAAGCACAATGAAAACTTGGTTAAGAGTATTTTATTCTTTACTTTAGACTGAGCTTATTATCAAGTTTAAATTATAGTTCTCATAGAAAGCTTTTTTGAATGGTAACAATTATAATTGGCGATTTCCTAGAGATATTTCTTTTAGATTTCTGAATAAATTAAAACTATCAGCTGACACCCTGGCAGAAAATGAATTCCAAATATAACCTCTTAATCTTTCAACTACAGCAATTTGGAATATTTTCATCTTATTTATTTATTTATTTTTTGGGGGGATGGGACAACTCTTAGTAGTCAACATATCTGCAAATTTAAGTACAATCACCTCAAAATATAGTAATAAATATGAAGCATTTTATTAGAAATTGTGAAGATTACAAAGAACTATGCATATAATAACATCTAATAAAATTTTGTAACTAAATATATATTTATAGAGTCATATTCAAAATTCATCGTTTTTAGATTCTAAGTATACATATTATATAAATTCATCATTCATTAATAGTATTATGTATAGTAATAGAAAATTAGTATTAATGTTTCAAATTGTAATATTTAATAATTTTCTCTTGCATTTGCTGTATATATTGTTCAAGACACATGGATATCAGTTTTATAACATGAAAAATACACAGAAAGCAGCTAATCTTATCTAACAGCTGATTGTGAAGAAAATTACTGTGCTCTTAATTACAGTTACAGTGCTTTTAAATCTCCTATTGTAAATAGCCGTTTTAGCTGACATTAGATTAAATTAATTCCATTATCCATTACAAAATAAGCCCACCAACGGCCGAGCGGTGTTTCGGTCCGAGGTTCGATAAGGGCTGGCTGCATGTGTTTTCGTGTTTTCCCCTGTGTATTGACCAGTTCCCTTAGAAATCCCTCCACGAAGGCATTCTTCTTAGGCAGATAGCCTTCGGCTTTGCATAATCACACACACACATTAGAAAATAGTAATTATAGTGAATTATCTCTGAAGACTTTTTAAGACGTCGCCTTGAAAGAGATCTTAATTTTTGTGAGATAAACAAACATTGCCAGTGAATACATATTTCTAAGACCACCATATCTACAACTAAAACCTTTAAAACCGTGAACGGTTTCGTTTATAGAGGGCTCACTATATTTTTTAGTAAACATGTACATCTTCGTTATACACTTGCTACATTTTGATTTTTCTGTCAAAGCAGAGGAACCAGTGTTCTATTCTTTAGAAGTATGTGAAATTAAAAATGGACACTATATGACAAAAATGGAATTAGATTCAAAACACCTCTTGAACATGTCTGAAATTCATTATTCTGCTCGGAATAAATTTATCTAAAGAAAATGAATGGTTAATAAATATTAAAACTCAAAGGCTAAGTCAGTTCAAAGTAGTAAGGGTCATTTCGTCTGAATATGTCTTTTCTTAATCATAAAGTGACTTTTTGAACAACGAATGAAACAGGAAAGACAGAATAAGTGCGAAAGGCCGCGGACAGACGACACTATTTAGAACGCGGCGTGAAAAGAAAACTGACGAAATGGCACTAAGCCAAGGAAAGGCATGCCTTCTTGGAGGACGTTTTAAAGGAAACTCGCTCGTATACATGTTCGCAAGGGGAAAACCACGAAAGCGCCCATGCCGTCAGCCTTTCCACCGAGATTTGAACCCTGGACTGAACTACCAGTGTTCAGCTTTCTTATCACTTGGTCGCTGGTGAGCCTTGTGCTAACATGAAAAGCTTAAGAATTGGATGAATGACCTTCTTAATGTACAGCTTTTAGAAAGATTAGTTTTTAATAGTGACTGAATGTACATATATTTAATTTGTTCACTTCTCTTATAACTTTTGTATATAAAACTTCGTGTGCACATTTTTTGAAAATAAAGTTAGAACAATTTAAAAAAAAAAAAAAAAAAACCTTTGAACTCATTCAATAAGGGAAAAATATTCAAACGTAGCTCCATATTAAGCATACTTGATCGCCAACACAAGATTTATAAGAAATATCTCCTAGAAGTTATGTGGCCACTATTTCTGTGTTGTCAGAATATGAAATTCGTATAGGGAAAAACATGCCATTCGATGTGAAGAAAATGACCTTAAATTTGATAGTTTTTCTACCTAATAAATTTTTACATGTTATGAGTTTCTTTTTCTTAATCTAGGCGAAATAATATTCAACATGTAATAACAGCATAAAACCCACAAAAGAAGTGTTCCAGTGAAATTCAGTTTTTTTAAATGCTGTTTAATAAATTTGCTTCATTGAAAGTTTTTTGTATATAAATAATTACGGTAAATTAAAATGAACTGTTTTTTAAGCGTTTACAGTTAATCGAGTAACATAATATTTTTTATTGAAATAAAAATTATTTTTTAATGTGCAAGATTACTTTTCTTACAACGCTGGGCTCATGGTTCTTAAATTCTCTTGTTCTTGAGTTCAGAAACCTTCGTTATTAAAATTATTCGAATAGTTTAACTTTTATATGGTTTCATATTTTTCATTTTAACTTTCATATGGTTGCGTTTTCAACCATATGAAAGTTAAAATGAAAAATATTACTTTTACGTAAATTTTAATATATGTAATAATTTAATTTTTTTAGAAATAGTTCAGTAGTTTTACTTTTAAACAATGGCTTTACTTCGATATAACAGACAAGTTTAATTAGTTCATCAAAAAGTTGTTAGAGACACTATCGAATCAGGAACTAGCATATTTTTCCACTCTGCAGTTTTACTGCAAAAACAGTGAATTATCCCTTTAAAAATGGTTAAGAAATATTTAATTCCTTTCGTTTTCCAGTTATTGAAATTTTTAAAATAATTGAAATTCTAACTAAATCCTTAGATAAAAAGTTATTCAAGAACTAGACTAAAGAAATGCAAGGAAAGGGGTTAACTTCGGTTATAAGCGGAATTTCAGATATTGTTATTTTCTAGTAACTAACAAAAAACATTTAAAATCCTCTTTAATTTATTCCTGACCACCCTTTAATTGCTCTCCTGCCATCACCCATTCCCTTCTGAGGCCATTCTTCGGCACCCCAGGTTCGATAGGAGATAAAGCAATTAAGTTCTTTAACTGCTTTTTCGCACAGCTGGGGGCAAAAGAAAAGGAATGCAATGATTTTCCGCCTGAATAGCCAGCGGCCAGTTAGAAAATTGCACGACAAAAGCCCCCAAGACGAATGCCCACTTAAAAACAGCACACATTTTCCAAGAAAATCCAAAATAGCTATGACTTCCTGAAAAATTTTACGAGTAATAATTATTATGATTAAAAATTAAATTTCAAGTGGGAATGAAATTAATTTATTTAAAATCCAAGTTGTCAAAATTTAACTAGATTATTTGAAACCGTGCTTTTAATTCACTATTAAAACAGTGTTTGTGATAGCGCACACAAATGTTTACTTAATCATAATAGAATACGGTACTTTTATTTTTTTTCGTTGAAATGAAAGTTCGGCTTTAATTCTCCATATTAAATTCATTATCTGCAAAATTTTCTGCAGTGTTAAATTATTCATAAATTATTCTATGTATATGATGAAAATTTACATACATTTTATACTCCTTATAATTTTGTAGAATTAAAAGAAGCAGTGTGGCCAGTATTCCCTTTCGTCTCCCTTTGTCAGACTTATACTAGGGCACTTCCATTTGTCACGTAAATATAAAAACAAAGTTACACAT